GACCTACATGTGTGTGCACTGGCTGTGCAGTATGTAAATTATATGACTGGCTTACCAGAATTACAAATTGGCAGATAAACAGTAAATCAATTGCTGTGTGTTTAGCTTTTTGCCTAGAGTTTTGCTTTAAATTGTCTTTGCAACACCACCACCCGGCCAAGAGATGCTTGGTGGATTATTATTTACTGTATTATTCAGTAAAGGATTCTTAAGTAGAGGATACATCCTAAAGGCAATGTGATTGCTTGGTTGTGTTGTGCAGTAATGTCTATATAGAATATGCCTTACTAAACATAATGCAATGTTTATCACTTTGCCCTGTGCTAGTCCATCACTGTCTTATTCAGTGTTTTCTCACAGGGTGCTGCTGGGTTTAATACCTCCAGTCTTATCACACAGGACGCAGCCATGGCTTGCTGCCTCCATACATCTTCCTCCCTCCCCCTCTCTGCTGTAGTGTGCATACCCACACTCTGCTTGCAGATCCTTCGAAATGCAACTTGCTGAGCCCCAGGTATCCATGGAAACGGGTGGTATGGGACTTCTGTCTGCCCTCCCCCATTTCTATTATACACATGTCGAAGGAGGGGGTGTGTGATTTGTGGCATGTAACTGGTAGCAGGAGGGCTGTTATTGTGCTTTTGGGGGTATGCAACAGCCCTCTGATGCATGGGGGCAGGTTGACGCGTTCTGGTGGGTGAAGATGCATCATTTATCACCAGGATTGAACCAGTCTTGCTTGGTCCTAGTAATATGCCTACTTGAATATGCTGACATATCTTTTTCATGTTGGCTGTAGACTGTGTTGGTTTATTTTTTTTTGGGGCTTTGTCTGTTGTAATTTTCACATGTGTTTTTTTGTTTTTGTTTTGTTCACTGTGTGTTCATTTGGTTTCATGAACTGTTTCATTGTTATAAAAAAAAAAAAAAAAACTTCTAATGAGATGAGGCACAGATGCTTAATGCATAGAACTCTGATGCCTGCAGTCTGATCAAAATCCATACTTGAAATGGCTATCGTGTGAATGCGTTCCATGAGTGAGTGAGTTCCATGTACCATAATGCCACTTCCCCAAACTTCCAATCAGGGAGCATGCACACAGATTACATCACATGCACTAAGTAGATCACTGAGGACAGTGCAGCCTGTAGATGCTGTCAATCACTCATTTTGGAGGATGCTGAAGGAGAATAGTGGCTTTTCTCTCTAGGCTTTATGGGGACAAGCTGAGTTGTCAGTACTGGCAGCTGGGAGTGCGCACACATAAAGGTGGCTCCATGGGACCCTATAAGGCAGCGGTAGCTAAACTTCAGCCAGCTCTGGTGAAACTACAAATCCCATTATGCATTGCAAGACTGACAGCTGCAGACATGACGTCCAGAGATAGGTGCATGATGGGATTGTCTAGTTTCATCACAGCTGGGGGGCTGAAGTTTATCTACCCCTGCTGTAAATGGATGGAGCCACCCAAAACAAGGTACAGACTCAACCAAACAACTAGCATTTTATAGAAAGATGGTAGCTTACAAGCCTGCTAAATGACCTCTTATGCACTGTTTTCACATGTGATGTTGTATGAGAGCCCACATAAGTATGTGCTGTTGGAGCGTGATTTAATTAGGGCTGTTTTAAGATAATCCCATAGTGCTTGCACTTTTGGCTGTTTTCTGTCTATGGCCAGTTTAAGGACCTCTTCACAGGACATTGCTTACTCTTGACCGCAACATGCAGCAAACACTCCTTGAATGGCATTGCGCCACCACATATATTTGTATAGCACCCTAATGTACCTTGCTGATGAATGTAACTTGCAGCTTAATGAGCGGCAGCGCACTAATGAATGTGCTGCCAAAAATAGTGCCTGCATACATTAGTATGTTGCCACGCATTTTTAGGGCAAGACATGTCTGTCACAGGGTGATTTTTGGGTGCCATTCGGAATGAATGTCGCCTCGTTGCACCCGCACATTTAACATGCGTTGCAGTAAAGCTCACGGTAATGCAACACCATAGTGTGAACGGGCACTTGGGATCTCAATGGGCTTTGGGCTTGTGTTGATGGTGCCTGTTTGACATCAATTTGAGACACTTTTGAGATCATTCAGAATTTTATTAATGGGTGCAGTTGACCTGACATAAGCTTTTGCATTCTCCTTTAATTTGTTTGGGAATTCAAAACCCACTTGAAGCGCACAAAAGCCCCTCAGCACAGGCCCTTAACCTACTGACATTCACATGTTCGGATCACCTGAATGTGCATGTCTTGCAGCCTAATATGTAACCTAGGTAGGTTTTCAGAAGTCAGTAGACACTGTCCATAGACAGCATTGCTGTATTGGTTGGCAAGGTATTTTATGTTTTGGCCTTGTCATTACAAATCAATAATTTCTTAATTTACCTAGGTCACCCCCTTAACCCAGGGAGGGGTAGTCCCTCAGTACATAAGCCAGATTTCCAGTTTATCCAGTGGTAGCCTAGACTAGACGTTTTAAAAGTAGACCTTGACTGGAAATCTTATCCTACAGACAGTGACCGTATAGTCGGTTGTAAATGTTACACAATTTACAGTAAGCATTCTGCAGCTGCGTCTTTTTTCCCCAGGCCCACTTTGTCAACCATTCCACCGTGCTGTGTGGCTGCAAGGTAGCCACTTTATCAGTGAAGGTGCAAGCTGTCACCAGAGAGCTCTTGTTCCTAGATTCAGCTTCCTGATGACACCATCAGTGTAATCCAGAGATCAAAGGCAGCAGTGCGTGTCATATGACTCAGATGATGTAAAAGTTCTATAATGCTTTTGTGAGGATAGAATAAAGTGAGCCTAGGTACTGTGAGGAAGTATTCTTCTGCGTGCTTTAAAGAATTATATTCTTATTAAATAGTTTTCCACAGGGAAAGGATGTATTAAAGCTGGCTTGACTTTTGTGCGATTCCTTGCTCAGTTGGCCGAAGATCGAACTGTGGGTGGCCCTGCAAGAACCACATGGCTTCACCAAAGTCGATATAAAAACTGAGCTGGGTGGAAAATTTTGGTTGAATAGTGACTGCACTCTGATGCAGTAATTGTTCAGGAGCACCACTGTATTTAGGCAGCCATGGGTGCTGCAGGTGCTGACTTCAATAGCCAACATTGGAGATTCCGCCATCCGTGCTGTTGTGTGGATGGGGAAATCAAGATGTGTGTCGCTAGCTGAAAATCACCAATCAGAAATACCTGTAGTTTTCAAAGTGTAGTCTTAGCGTCATGGTCAGGTGTATGTGTATTATAGTACCCTGTAAGTGCACGCTACCCTAGCTGCTGTGTACATGAGTTTGAGTTCAACAAATTGTAGCCCCATTTCTGATTTTGAAAATGTGTAAGTGTACTTTGCCCAGTGTTATAACACTCTTGTCAATTTCATGTTGCTATTTACCAGTTAAAGCCTATCTCCAGTCAGGCTTACTCCTGCACTGCAAGGGTTACATGCTCATTCATGTCTAGAGGTATTGTAAAGAGGACTTTTACTTGATCTCTGCCTTCCTGGCAATCAGTACTCTCCTCTTGCCCCTATGCTCGGGCATGTGGATTGTCCCTCGGTGTCCTTGCGTATAATGCAGGGCTATGGCCCCTATGTTGCATGTGAAGAAGTCAGCAGGCCTGTGCCCGCCTGAGTGAAGGGAGGAGGTGGCTAGTGGTGCTGGTCTTGCAATCAGTGGGAGCAGGGGATCAATTTAGGTCTTGTTCACACGATGTCCGGATCACCAGAACAGTTTGTTCCCGGACCAAAAAAGCATGCCAATGTATTCCTATGGCATTTCTGGGCTCTGTTCACTCCGGCGCGGTCCGTTCTGGATCAGACCAAAAAAATACTGCTAGTCTCATTTTGTTTGGTCTGGAATGCACTGAACACACCTGAAAAGCCATTTTAACCTTAAAAAAATAAGAAGAAAAAAAGCTGTAAAAACGCAATTCACCGCGTTCAAGATCTGGGCCGTTAAAATGGTGTGAACCTGGCCAAAGTCCTTTACACGGTTCCCCTCGACACAAACAAGCAGCCCCACTTCAAGGGTATTTTTTAGTTATTTTGTTTACTTTTATTTGAAGATAGGCTTTTATCAATCTTTGAGAAGGGGAAAATTGACCTACTGGGCGTTATGCATGTTTGGATTCCCAGTTTTGAATGGGAGATTTATTTTTGAAACATTATAGAAGATTGATTTATGTATTTGGTGAGCTGAGATGCTTTGTTTCTAAAAGCACTTCCTGAAAACTTTGCAGTTGCTTGTACTATTAATAGGAATTGATTATGTGACATGTAGCATTGTGACAGCTCTTCTCCAGGATCACGGCAGTATTGAGGAAAAGGGGGATGGGGTTAGGGCAGTGTCTGCTTGCTATTACACAGACTTGTTATGGAGGAACTGCTGAGTTAGCTGGTTTTCACGCTGGGGAGAGGTGAGTTGGCACTGTGCCGCTGTGCCCATCCACTGCCTCTGTCATTGTTTGCACTGCTTGCGAAGTGTTCTGTTCTTTCTTCCGCTGCCGAAACAGATGTTCAAAATGCCGAAAGCAATTTCAGCCATTCTGTCTGCTGCCACACAGGCAGAGACCTTTCCACTACATATAGTGTTTTTATAAGGGGAAATAATGGTGTAAGTGTGATCAGGTTTATAGGAATCCTCATGGTAGCATGGAGCCTTAAGACAAATATATTCCCTTACTGACTTTTTATAATGTACGATGGACAATTGTGGTTAATACTTTCACCTTGTGCATGTATGCCATGATCGATTTTATAGTGAATATTTCACCTAATACATGTATATTATCATCTATTCATAAGAATGCATGGGTTGAATTTTCCATAACAAAGTTTTGGGTTGTGATTTTGTTTTCTTATGAGAAAACTTTGTTTTATTAAATGAAATGGTGTGAATATATGCAGAAATTTCTATTTTATTCAATCACATATTTACTTTTAGTAATTGATTGTAGTAACAAGGTGTTTTATATCTTTTGCAGGCTCGGGGTTCAGGACATTCACACCCTTCTACTTCCTAACCGAACCAGTGGACACTGTGACTTTACGTGGGACTCCAGCCATTCTGAACTGTTCTGTATATGCTGAGCCATCAGCAAAGACCGAATGGAAAAAAGATGGAACGTTTCTAAATTTGGTGTCTGATGACCGGCGGCGGCTTCTTCCAGATGGATCGTTGTTTATTACCAGTGTTGTACACTCCAAACACAACAAACCAGACGAGGGGATTTATCAGTGTGTGGCCACTGTTGAAAGCCTGGGCAGTATTGTCAGTCGCGCTGCAAAACTCTCTGTTGCAGGTGAGAGCCTTTGACATTTTGTATGTATTTTTGTTTAGAGAGTATTGCATGCTGCACACCAAGCAATGTAAGCATTAAAATTGTGTTTGTGCTTGTGTACACTAATATGACCACATAGGTTCAGATTAGGTGATTGTAACATTCATGAGTAGCAGCAACTACACTTTAGCAAGTGAAACACCTTCAAGTGTTTATTACCGCTTAAAGTAATCCTTAAAGCCTAATTACCTTCCATGATGATTCAATGGAATTTGGTAAACGGGGTAGTTTACAATTGTGCTCATCATCGAGCACTGTCAAATGTGAGATTCTTTGCTTGTATTCATTTTTAAAAATATCAAGATCTACTACACTTTTATGGAGGGATTGAGGAACATAAAAATCATAGTGGCTTGAACTGTACCAGAGGAAAAGGTGTGTCTAAGGAACCTGTGCTAAAGCCTATTGAAAAACACATATGATACCTTTTATTAAAGCTGAACTCTGAAATGATACCTTTTTATTAAAGCTGAACTCTGGAATACAAGTCAAATTCATCCTTTAGTGGTGTGCGATATGTATAATAGAAAGCTGCTAATACATAATAATACAAATAACCATAGTGTGATTTCATTGCTCCAGTTCACAAAATGAAGCTAGTGCCAGGCCCCCGAAGGATTGGCATTGTGCAATGGGAATTTTTGTAGGCAAGATTATGGCAGAGGGATGGGAGGTTTCTTGCAGATGTTAACGGTGATGTCATGGGAGGTGGGATGGACCAGGAGTCTCCTGGCCTGTCAGTCAAATCCCAGTTACAGAGGGTAGTTTAGAGCAGGTGGCTGAGACTTGTGGGTCTTCCCACTATATAGCAAATGCCAACGTAGTTGCGTTACTGCTTGCTACAACAAGAACTACGCAGGGAAAGTTGCAAGACTGGTGGGAGGGGAATAAAGGGCATAGTGACCTACCAGTCTTATAAAACGAATGTTAAGGGGACAGATTGCCTTTTAATGTGGAACAGAATTCTTGGTTTCTCTGTGCCTGTAAACCTGTGCATGCGAAAAAGGTAAAAAAAAGTGCTTTTATGCTGATGGGATAAAAATTTCTGCCTGGAGTTCAGCATTAACTTAAGCTGAACTTACAACCTCCTATCCCTTACTGCAGTGCTCCCCAACCTTTTTATCGCCGCAGACCGGTCAACGTTTGATAATTTTGCCGCGGCCCGCTGAGGGGGGGACGTTGATTGTTTATATTTTAGATTGTTTTGATTTAATAATTTTAATTGTATTTAAACATGCCTTCAAAATAAAATACAGTTACACCAAAAAATGAATATAAAGTGATTTAACATTTTAACTCACTGGTGTGTGGGAATCACCTGTCCCGATAAATCCATATTTCAAGTAGGACTCGTGGTATTGTCTGTTAAAAGTTACATGTTTCTTTGATGTTGAAGGCTCTTCTTCTGTCTCTTCACTGGGCCTTTTCTTTTTCCCAAGGAAACTTTCTAACGACGTCTGTTTCGTACTCATTTTTGCTAATTTGTGGGTTAAATTTGAGCAAACACAATATACACGTACACCAAGCACTGTTAAACATGAGAAAGTACCGGTGAACAGAGAGAAGAGCGATACACACCTTCTCTTTACCAAAGCTACAACGCCACTGCCGCTTGCAGCCGCTCAGCTCCAGACGTCACCTAAAACCGCGGTATTGGTGTGGCTTTAGGTGACGTCTCTCAAGCTCCCGGGTTAACCTCTTGTCCTGGAAAGTCGGACAAACCTGAGAGAAATACACCACAGTAAATAAAATAGAAATAATTTAATGTTCCTTGGGCGGCCCGGTGCCATTTGATCCACGGACCGGTACCAGTCCGCGGCCCGGGGGTTGGGGACCACTGCCTTACAGCCAAGGAAGGTGCCATCTTAGCCTCTATTTGGAATGCAGTTGCCATGGTGCAGCACATGTAATCGGCTATGACATCAGCCATGTGAGGGCTTGGAAGTTTGGTTGAGAGCTGAAAAAAGCACACTGGTAACCCTGACAGTTGGCATGCCTTAAAAGTAACTGTTTTAGGAGAAGTTAAATTGGTGGTAACATTTCTCGTTGGGTATCTGCACAGTGTCTGGTCTGTTTTCATTTTATAATATTAGTGGTGGAAGTGCACAGTTTTTTCAGTGGAAGACACAAAGGAAGAAACACATTGAGGGGTATTTACAAAGACTGCATCAGACAGAATCTGGCACAGCTGTGCATAGCAACCAATC